AACGAAGGAAAAGTAGCCACTTTCACAGCCGTGCGCCATGGCGTGTCTGCTACGTCTATAGTGGACATAACTATGGCTTCAGAGAATCTCATACAGTGCGTCGCGGAGTGGAGAGTCAACATCGAAGCAATTCAGAACTCTGACCACAATTCCATTACTTTCAAATTGGAGAAACACGATAAAATCACAGCATCTAAGCGGACTTCTACCTATTTGTTCAATAATAAAACAGCAAAATGGCCCAAATTTCATGCCTGTCTTCAAAACAGTATTCAGAAGTCGAAAATACTTAGCACAAATTTTCAAAATTGTACCTCCATCGAAATCGATAATGTATTTAAAAGCCTTACTGACAGCATACGATCTTCATGTAGCGAATCTATGAAAATGAGAAAAGGTGTCAAATCGATTAATCCCTGGTGGAATCAAGAGTTGCAAGTTCTCAAAGAAAATTGTATTAAACTCCACCACAAACTCAACTGGTTAAGCAAGAACCACATACCCGTCAATGCAGCTGCACTGGTAAATGCTGAAGCCAAACGTCAATGTAAAGCATTAAGGGAAGCATCTGTAAACAATTTTCGGGAATTCTGCACCAACCAGGGCAAAGAAGATGTATGGTCCATTACAAATCGTATCATTAAAGATGCGCCACTGCAACGGCCGCCGACAACTCTACACAAAGATGGTAGATTCACTGAAACAAGCTTTGAAACAGCAGAAGCGTTAATACGGCACTTCTATCCTGACGATAACCCGGACGTCAGTGTTAAGCAGCGTGCTATTCGAAGTCAGGTAAAAGCTTTCATAAGTACATCAAATGACTAAGATTTTACGGAAGATGAAGTCATGGAAGCATTAAGCTCAATAAATCCAAATAAAGCTCCGGGACTAGATAACCTCACTTCTGATATATGTATGGAGGTATTTCAACACTATCGGACATTTGCTTGCGGATAGGATATTTTCCCAAGGTATGGAAAGAGGCTTACGTAAAAATTCTGCCAAAACCGAACAAAGAAGCTGGTGACCTATCATCGTATCGACCAATAGGTCTGCTACCCGTCTTTGGAAAACTCTTGGAAAAGCTGTTTATTGGGCGCCTATCGTATCACGCTGAGCGCAACCATTTATGGTCATCTAAACAATATGGTTTTAAGTAGAAAACGTCAACCACTGATGCACTTTACAACGCTGTCCAAAATATCAAA